TAAATATTGAACTGTGTAAAATGACATTAGGGAGGTTTCGCACGCGAACGCGTACGGTTAGTGTGGCGGATACGTCATCATTTTGACTTCATATGCCCGGCTGCTATCCGCTAAGTGAAAAACGTGTAGGGAAATTTTGGATTTCTAATAGGATCTTCGTTTATTTTTTCACATTTTATGTAAGTGTAAAACATAAATGTATCTTGAATACGTACGTGCCATTTTTGTGACATTTGAAGACAAAAAAAATCCAAAAGGATGCGTCTCATTTTTAGGTATCAAAACGTCGGTGCTTTGACCTTGGTGGTGTCGGGATTTTGTGTAGGCCCAGGCCTGCTTGTAGTCAGGCACTTTTGAGTCATAAACAATAGGGCCTATCATAAAATAACCAACACTTTTGGGCATCAAAGGAAGTATTTTTCGGCTACAATTTTCAATTTTAATTTCCAAAATCTTACATAAACTAATAAAACTTTGAGAAGCATGATGAGAAAAGAGAACAGAATAGGGCCTAGCAGGCCTAAGAAGACCCTAGGCCTAGGCTACGCTTGAATTGCGCTGTTGATTGCAAAAAACACAAAATGGCTACGAACCGTTAGGGAAAGCTAAACGTATGCGTACACGTATATGGTTAGCCATCGGGGCCATAATGAGAACGCGTTAATTTTGTTTTAACGGCGTTAAAACTTATTTTAACGGCGTTTAATCTTATTTAAACGGCGTTAAATTTTATTTTAACGCCGTTAAAATCTTATTTTAACGCCGTTAAAATCTTATTTTAACGCGTTAAAACTTATTTTAACGGCGTTAAAATAAGATTTTAACGCCGTTTATTATCGATTTAACGCAATTTAACGAAAGTTAACGCAATTTTGATATCGACTTCATTGATGTTCACTTTTGTTAGTGAATTGTCAATGAGCTATCCTGTCAGTATTGACCTGGCATAAGTTCAACAACTGCTGATCATGGTTGCAACTCGCAATATTAACATTTCTTTTTTAAAATTAATTATTAATAATGGAATAGTTCCAGGCCTGCTACTAAGAATAAATCAGGCGCCCCCCCACCCTTTTTGGAAAGTTAAAAAAAAAAAAAAAATAAAAAAAATAAAGGAAAAGGAAAAGAGAAGTTGGTCGCCTAAAACGCGCCTCAGAGGTTATTTTAGGGCGTCTAGGCTAGTACTATTAGGTAGTGTTGTCTCAATCGGTCCCCCTTTCGGGCCCCACCACCACTTTCAGACATCAGCTCTGGATCCGCCCCTGCCATTTTTAGTAGGCCTATTAAAGTGGTTAGGCCTGCCGAGACTGTGAAAATGCTTGGCCTAGACTGCTAGCCTCTTCGGTACGACAGGCCTAAACCATGGACCTATTATTACTTAATAAGATCCATGCCTAAATTTTATAAAAATGCATAGAGACTCACTCATCCCTCAAGTTTAATTCTGCCGTATTCTCTTCCGGAACTCCTTCAAACAGATGATTTATGGTTCCATTTAGTCGTTGTTGCAGGCTTGCAAATTTTCTGCATTCATTTTTTAGCCTTGGGAGTGGGTGTGAGGAATAAAAAATGGGGCAATCTATGACTTTCAATCGTTTCCGCGCGCGTAATTGCGCTTTAATTCCTCATCTAAAGCCTGTTTTCGATTGTTAACTTGTGTTGAGTTGTGTTGAGTTGCGTTAACTTTCGTTAAATCGCGTTAATTCGATTTAAAAAAACGCCGTTAAAACAGATTAAAAAACGCCGTTAGAATTATATTTTAACGGCGTTATTATAAAGTTTTAAAAAAGCACCGTTAAAATGATTAAAAAAAGCGCCGTTAAAACTGAGTTTTAACGGCGTTAAAATAAGTTTTAACGCCGTTAAAATAGAGCAAAAAAGCGCCGTTAAAATAGAGTAAAAAACGCCGTTAAAATGTTATTTTAACGGCGTTTAAAAGGTTTTAGCGGCGTAAAAATAAGATTTAACGCAGTTAAAATAAGTTTTAACGTCGTTAAAACAAAATTAACGCGTTCTCATTATGGCCCCGATGGCTAACCACGCACGTATTCGTTCGCTTGCGAAACCTCCCTATTATTTGATCTTTCACCATTTTTACACAGCATCGTTGCATGATCATTCATCGTTATGAATTATACTGTACATAATTTTACTTGAGGTGTAATAACTTGCAAAGATGTTTGTAGAATCTTGATTCAAACAGTTATTTTTGATTTCCTGGTGGAGGAGATTTTTTATTTTCTGGCAACTCGCTTACCTTTCATCAGCGACCCAATAATTATATGTGGTGGCGCTGTTGGCAGTTACTGAGATGCAACACCGTCAGACAGTGCTTAAAGGTGGTACCTCCAGCTCTTTCTGTTCAAGATGCTCCTGTTTCGTATAATATGGGCTGCCTCCTGGATTCCAATTCCCATCCTATGATGGATCTGAGTACTGTACCAGATATTAACGCCCTCCGACTGGATGGCGTGTCTAGTGGTTTTAGTGTGCCCGGTCACTGTGGAGAGGGGATCCTTTTGTGTTCAGCGGCTTTGACACCCAATCGTTTAGTTTCTCCTATATACGAAGCATGACAGTTATATATGCCGTGTTGTACTTATCATTCCTGTCCATTGTGCACTTTGATGACACCCGGAGATGTTGGCGAATGGTGTTCTTAGGTTTCAAGTGTGCTTGTATACCCTAGGAGTTTAAAACAAGAAGTCCTTTCGCAATATCCCTTACACAGGGCACAACGATACTTCCCTCCTCTGAGAAAAGGCATTAAGTACATTTTTTTTTTTCAAAATTGAGATTTTTGGCTTACGTGACTCTTCAATGTCTAATCTATAACCTTAGTTCATCAAAATTCCAAAATAATGTCTGGAAATATGAAATTATAATATTTTAAAATTGGGAATTATCTAAAATTTTCACTACAAATACTCCAAGAAAAGGCATTATGTGCATTGAACGCTTGACTTCATGCAGGACAGATAGTAAGTAACCAATCAGATGCTAGTGTAACGAATATCTATTTAACTAGCTTGGGATCCTCAACAATAATGCCAAGCAGGGAACCGTTAAATTAATTAATTTCACTGTTCCTGATGCCAAGGCTAATGATGATGATGATGAGGAGGATGAGGAGATTTAAAAATATATGATGATGGGCTAGTTACCGAACCATTAATAAAATAAGTCTGTAACATATTTTGATAAACCTAAAATGAAAAGAACAGTTCAAGCTAGGCTACCACGCCCCTGTCTCTTATAAGTTAGGCTACCACCCACCCCCCCCCCACACCCACCGGCTCCATCACCATTAAAGCCCTATCCCCCACACCGCAATTTCCTCGTGTACACAATTAACTCCAGCATTTTATAATGTCCGCGTATACTATCTCCTAATGTTTGCACTCAACTTTTCGATTTGAAACATACTTGAGTTTTAAAACATTGGATAGAAGATTTTGCGGCTTTTAACTATTTTAATATTTTTTAATATTAAATTTCATTTTTTGGAGTAACATATTAATAAAATATACGGTATGTTATAAATATATAGATTAGATTCATACATACATTTCAATGAATTAATTATTTATGTATGTGTATAAATAATTTTTGCAGATATTGCCCGACTTCAAAAGTATTTATCCACATTTATAGTCATAAATACTCTGAAAAGGGAATTATCTCAATTTTCGCCCCTTAATAAATTTAAAAAAATTAATGAAAAGTATGTGGCAAATTTTTAATAATATATCAAAACAAATCATAGTTTAAAAAAATTGAAATCAGTAGTACTTTTCTTGGGAAAACCCAAACGCATTCTGCTCATTTACTCAATTTCTCAGGAGCGCAGAATTATTTTATTCAACTTATAAGGCAAGAACAGAACAGGTGAACAAGCACCTCTACAGAGCCGTCTTACCACCGGAGAAAAATGAATAAATAAATAATCAAATAAATGTAAAAAAGATAAGGATTCAATTAGAAAAAAAAAAAAAAATCAGCAACAGCCAGAACAGTGACAAAATGAGATCCAAGTGCAAAAATTATCAGGAAAAAAATAAGATTTCAATTTAGAGTTGTAAAATTCAATAACTTTGTTCTTAAAAGAAGGAAAGGAAGAATCTGATCGAATTGATAAAGGAAGATTATTCCAGATGAAAACAATTCGTTGAAAATAAAAAGATTCATGAGCCTTAGTTTTGCACCGGCGTATAGATAACATAAAATGATCAGACGAAAGTCTGGTGGTAGGACGGCCCTGTGATGAATTAAAATGCACGTAATCGTCAATAGAAATATCATAAATACCATACAAACTTTTGAAAAAAATAAAGAGATCACTGATCTCGCGTCTAAAAGACAACGGTAACAAGTCAAGCTGCAAAAGGCGCAACTTATAATCAAGGTTAGGATAA